TGAACTAGCAGTGAAAATGAGTACAAGTAGGAAACCCTAGAATTGTGTACCCCCTATAGGCTAACCCACTGTAGCCTACACAAGCAGAACATATATAATGTTTGACAGGGGCGACACTCGCCCCCACCCCCACGTCGCCCCTCCCGTCGCGGCTCCTTCGGGGGCCGCGACGGGCGACGGGAAAAGAGGGGGGGGGGGGGGGGGGGGGGGGGGGGGGGGGGGGGGCGGTGCACGTGCCCCCGGTGCGCCGCGGCTGACGACGAGGCATGGCCGGGGCGGGGCCGGGGCCGCAAGTGGCGGCGACGGGGCCGCTGGCGGCGACGACGGGGCCGATGCGGGCGGGGACGAGGTCGCTGCGGGCGGCGACGAGGCCGCTGCGCGCGGCGACGGGGCCGCTGCGGGCGGCAACGGGCCCGCTGCGGGCGGCGATGGGGCCGATGCGGGCGGCGACGGGGCCGACGCGCGGGTCCCCGTCACCCGTCGCAGCGCCTCCCGAGGGCGACGCGCCGAGTGACAAGGCAGAAGCCCGCCGCGCGCCTCGGGGCGCACAGCGAGCAGAGAACCGCCGCGCGCCTCGGGGCGCACGGCCGGAAGAAAAAAACTGCCGCACGCCACGGGGCGTGCGGCACAGAGAGTAGCAGTAGCAGTTGCAGCGGAAGCAACGAGGTGGTGAGCCCACCCACAGGATCCATCCAAAGGGATCGACCTGCTCTGATAGCATGTGAAAATTTTAGAAGAAAGAAGAGAGAAGGGGGTTGAACTAGCAGGAATGGGGATACAAATAGCAAACCCTAGAAGGGTTGTACTCGCTATGGAGCATCCCACTACAGGCTAGAGTATAATATTCTGACAGCGCGCCCTTGTTGAAGTGGCGAGCTATCGTGATGGCTTTGACGCACGGGGCTTGTATATAGTCAGATGTCCACGCAGGCAGCCGAATGAGCCCTTCGTGCTTGCTGATGCTGCACGATCCCGTTGTCCAGTCGATGACAGGGTTGTGTCGTCGCAGCCAATCGCGTCCCAGCAATATGTCGCAGCCGTCCAATGTTGTCGCGAGAAACTTCATGCTGAAGCCGAAATCGTCGCCGCATTCGATCCTGACCGTCCGTGTTTCTTCCGTTATCGCCAGAGGCGTCTCATCCACGAGGCGTGCGTCGATTTCGGGCAGACACCTGTCAAGTTGCAGCTTGCATTTTTTTGCGCTCGCCAAGTTGAAGAGGCTATGGCTGGCCCCCCCATCGACGAACATTTTCAAATTATTTTTTAACACCTTGCCAGCAACCAACACAGGGTGATCCACATGTTTATCCCCGTTATTCGGCCGAGTGTGGTCGATTGCATGAATCGGAACCACGACTCGGTGGGGATGATGGTGTTCGGGTGACGGAGCACAGTCAGTAAAGGGCCCGCTAATTACTGACTCTTCCCATTTCCCTGCTCCTTCCTGTCGTCCCCTGTCAGCGGAATTTTCTCCTGGCAGTCTTTCCTGTAGTGACCCACCTTCCCACACCGAAAACACGGACCCTTAGGAGGGTGGTCGGGTGTATGGACGGCGTTGATCGTGGCCCAATGGGTCTGGCCACGAAAGCTTCTCCCATCCTTGGAAGCTGCTCTCGCGTACTGCATTAGCGCATCAGTTGACTCCGCCACCCGTACTGCTTCGAGGAACGATGTCGGGCGGCTTCGGCGGACCTCAAACTGTATTTCACATTTAAGGCCGCTGACGTATTTATCCAACCGCTCTGCTTCCGACATGTCATCGATCTGGTCGGCGAAGCCCATAAATGACGCCGTGTAGTCTTGGACAGAAGCCATCTGCGACCATGCACGCAGCTTCATGCGAGCTTGTACCGAGGCGGATACGTGCTCGAAGCGATCTCGTAAGGCTGCGCCCCACTCCTTCCACGTGCGTATCTTGGTCATACCGAAGATTGGTTCTGCCACTTGATTAACCACTGTAGAGGTCCCGTCTGCCGCATGTGTCACACCTGTCGGCGTCCCCGTTTCCAAGGTCCGGCGCCACCACTCAAGTGCTGCACCTTGAAGAAGCGAGACCGCGTAATTTAGACGTGTGGCATCGTCATTAACTCCGGCTGCAGTGAAAAAGACCTCGACCCCGAACAGCCACCCTTTTACCGTAACCGTTTTGTCCGTAGGGTTAAACGGGGGCGGGTTAACGGGCTTGATCTTGATCGTCGTGACTGCAACTGGCGCAACTGCCGCTTGCCGCCTATCTTCTTCTTCGAAGTCACGTATGAGCTCGTCCGAAGGATTGCCCATCACTTGACTGTTGCCCTCACCTTCTTCATCGGGCGACTCCTGACGCGCTTCACCTCGCGTCTGGCGTAGCTCAGTGTTTTCTCCTCGTAGTGTTGTCACTTCCGCCGATAGTGTCCGTACTGTTGCCTGTAATGCTGCCATTTGCGCCAACATTGTGACACGATTTTCAGAGGAGTGTGCAGTGCAGTCGTCATAGCATTTCACATCTCAAGTATATACAGCACACTCGATAATATGGAATACATATGGTGTTCTAAATGGGAACAAGATACGCACAAGCGATCCAGTGTATAAGGGAGAGGAGGGTTGGAACTAGAGAAGTGGAAACTGCAAATGAGACTAGGTGGTAGGTCCCGAGGACCTGCCGAAAGGTAAAGGAGAATGTCTCATTTACAGCAAACCCCTCTTCGAGTCGAACCACAATCTGTAATTTTTTTTGTTACAAAAAAATTATCATATTTCGTCCAACTTCTCCTGATCCCTGTGCCTAACGCTTCGTCTGGTGGGCAAGTGGGTACCCGTGGTATCCAGGTAAGTGAAAACACGAACTATCGGGGTCGGGCAGGATTGAGTTAACAATCCCTGCAGCCAACCGTCGTGTAGTCACTAAACCAACCACACCCCTGCCACCAAACTACCCTCGAAAAGCGGGGTGAACTAGGAAAGTAGCTTTGATACCAGGTGTTATGAGTTGTAAAAGAGAGTGCGCAGGTAAACGAATAACGAGACTGTGATCGAACGAACTGACAATACAATGAATGGGCAGACTAATGTAAGGCTAGCCTAGCTGGGAGGAAACCTCGGGCACGCGAGGTTGGGTGCAGGTTTGGCGATGGAAATGCCGAAGGCGACGCGAGGAGCCTCGGCAGCGTTGAAATTGGCTGAACGTGCGAACTCCGAAAATCGGGTTGTACGCGAAGCAGTCAACCCCGATAAGGAATTTGGGAAAATTCCTTCCATTGTGAATGTGTGTTACGGGTGCAATTGAACTGCCCTAGCATATTAAATTGCAGTTAAAAGGTCAAAGCGAGTACAAAAAAAATGAGCGAACATGTGAGCAAACATTTATAGCGAAAACATCAAACTGTAACGTGGTGCGTGCGGGCTAGCTAGTGCACTGCTGGTCACCTGAATTGGGCTAGCCCCAAAGCGTAGGCCGACTCGGCCAAGTCAAGCAATGAAAGGTTTGGTAAAAGTGACGCGCGAATGCCAAATAACTCCTTGCAATTAGCTGGAGATGTGACAAGCTTTTATTATATTTGTATTACCTTTTTGTTGGGGTGGTCAAGAAGCTCTCTACATGTAGTGACGGTATAGCATTCCGGCGCGATTTGTTCCAATACACTGACTGACCTTTTGGCCCCGTTTGTGTCTCGAGCCGTCTTTCCATCCAGCGCTTCATTGCCCGATCATGCCGATCGGGGGAGCGTCTGTTGGATTGGTCAAACATTGCCTACGACCTTCATCATAATCGCCTCGCCAATTTTCAATGTCCATTTCCCGTCTACGAACCGCCCGATTCCATCAAATCACATGCTTCCTTTCGCCCAACCGTACGACAATCTCACCTCACCACCACCCACCACTAATTTTAACGCACCGCAACTATCACATCAGCAGCAGCTTCAGACTAATGCAACCTGAAATTGCGCCCCCCGCGGCCCCACCCCCACCCACACCAACCTCGCCAGAGACTTCGCTGCTGAGAACTTGGTCGAGAAAAACCGAGAAAAACAGTTCTGCTCTGCTGCACTCTAACCGCGAAAGACCCATCGAGTAACCACCGGATGCTTACCTGCACCGTGGCTTTTGTTTTCCGTCAATTTCTCCCTCCTACAGCGACGCCAGTAGCGCACCGAAGGACGTATTCTATCCGTCATTTTTATTCAAACACACGCATTCTCGCTGCCTACCTAGTTGCCCCAACAGTGCCGTGTCGTGTGCGCTGCGCTGCGCACTGGCTTGCTTCGACAGATCCCTTTCAGAAACAAGGAGGGAGGACCTACAGCTTGCTCCTTCACTCTCCCGCCGACCAGAAAACTGGAAGGAACCAGAAGTACATAACAGTGTTCCTCACTTGAATCAGTACTACAGGGAGGCATTTTTTAATTTCGCATCGCATTTTTCTTGTCGCTTAGTACGCGCTGCGGGGCCTGCCTGCCACCAAGGGTTTTACACACAATTCACTACGGGCCAAAGAAGTCCAGCTGGGTGGGATCGATTTTCACGTTGCTTTCAGTTCAGTCGCTCATACATACATAGCAGTAGTTCTTGACCATTGGCCGTGGTCGGGTTGTGAGGCGCCTCAAATCAAAACTAGACGTTGCTTTCAGTTCAGTCGCTCATACCGGGCAGTAGTTCTTGACCGTTGGCCGTGGTCGGCGAATCTTGCACTCCTCATCCCAACCAACGACAAACCCACACACATGCCTGTTAGTCACAACACAAGCTCTCGCTCCCTCCTCCGAGGTGACTTTTCGAGTCGACTCAAAAGTCACCAAACCCACACCCATGCCCCTTAGTCACAACAACACAAGCTCTCGCTCCCTCCTCCGTAGATAGAAACTACTGTTGCTGTCAGGTCGCCTTGTTTTGCAAGGAGCCTTCTTAGTGGCACAGAGTAAGAGAGTGCGAGTAGCCAAGATACGGTGCTTTTATTAACAGGCGCAGGGCAAGGGACGCGAAAGTAAGAGGCGAAGATGGCGGCAGATTGGCGAAATATGGTAACCCTATCGGTCTTCGCGTTGGTGTTCCTCGCCATCGTCGAGAAAAGTCCGCCCGGCGCCCTGGCCTACAGCAGTTTCAAAAAGAAGCTCACGCCCATCCCCTTTCCCAGTCCCCTCCCCAGTAAGCCCCTTCCTCCCAGCCCCTTCCCAGTAAGCCCCTTCCCGCCAGTCCCCTCCCCAGTAAGCCCCTTCCCCTCAGCCCCTTTCCCAGTAAGCCTCAAGCTCCTTCCCAGTAGGTCCCTTTCCCAGTAATCCGCTTTTCTTATAACCAATAGTTTCAACGTCGGTAAGGGGTGCGTGTTCTATTCGGCTTTCGCCCCAAGTACCAGAAATCACTTTTGAGAATTCTCAAAATCACTTTTATATCGAAATCACTTTTGAGAATTCTCAAAATCACTTTTATATCGAAATCACTTTTGAGAATTCTCAAAAGTGTTTCAACGTCGGTAAGGGGTGCGTGTTCTATTCGGCTTTCGCCCCAAGTACCAGAAGCTAGTGATGTCGCTCCTCCCTTACTTATGCAAAGGCCCCCCTTCTTCCCCCTCTCCCCCATCTTCTCCCCCTTCCCCTCCCTTCCCCTTCATCGTCTCGACCACCGCACCCCCCATCCCCCCACTCCCCACCCCCTTCCCCTCCCCCCAACATCACGCCCCACACAACCCCACCAACCTCACCACCAGGCGCGACCGATCCAGACCCCCCCAAACCGTGGACCTGCGATGTTTCCTCTGGAAGCTGGACACCTTCCGCGAACCTTCCACTCTACACCGGGCTGACGTGTCCGTACATCCGCTCCGGCCACAACTGCCAGACCGCGGGGCGCTCCGATATGAGTTATCAGAAACTGCGCTGGCGGGTAGGTCTTACGCGTTTATAGCACATATACGCGTCAAATAGCATGTACACTTGTTATTAGCACTCTCACGTGTTCCTACATCCGCTCCGGCCACAACTGCCAGACCGCGGGGCGCTCCGCTATTAGCACATATACTCGTCATTAGCTCTGCTGTGCTCATCCCGCGCTGCTCCTACCTCCTCTACCTTCCCTTCCCTTCACCTGCTACCATTCTCCCTCCCACACCAGCCTTGGGGTTGCAAGGTGGTGCAGTCGACTTTTGAGTCGACTCAAAAGGGTTGCAAGGTGGTGCAGTCGACTTTTGAGTCGACTCAAAAGGGTTGCAAGGTGGTGCAGTCGACCCCACAACGCCTCCTCGCTCTCTTCCGAAACAAGACGGTGGTCGTGTTCGGCGATAGCGTCTCTAAAGACCTCTCCACGTCTCTACGCTGCGTGCTCACACCATTCCCAAGTCCTCATTCCCTTCCCTCCCCTCTCCCACACCAGCCGTGGGGGTGCAAGGTGGTGCAGTTGACGCCACAGAGACTCCTCACTCTCTTCCGCAACAAGACGGTCGTGGTGTTCGGCGACAGCGTCTCTAAGGACCTCTCCACGTCGCTACGCTGCATGCTGCACGCCGCCAGCCCCAACTTCTCGCGATTCAAGCTGGCAGGAGGGGCGACGAGAGTGTGGGGCGAGAAGGTGAGCGACAGAAAGACGGTAGTGCTTACCTTAAAAGGTGGGGGTGGAGAGGGAGTGAGACTCGGCAGGAGGGAGCAAGCAACCCCTCCTCCTGAGTCTCTAAGGACCTCTCCACGTCGCTACGCTGCATGCTGCATGCTGCCAGCCCCCACTTCTCGCGATTCAAGCTCGCAGGAGGGGCGACGAGAGTGTGTGTGGGGCGAGAAGGTCCTCTGCCTCTCCTCCCTGATCATCTCCTCACTCCGCCATCTCTCTCCCCCATCTCACTCCCCCATCTCATTCCCCATCCGCCTCCCCCCATGGTACATCCGCATAGTGTCGCTCTTCTCCTCGCACCTCAACCACATTGGGTTCATCCCCGATGCATCCCAACCTCCATCCCTTATCATCTCCTTCATCTCCCTCTCTCCCGGTTCACGTCCCCATCTCACTACCCTCCTCACTCGCCCATATCTCTCTTCTCCTCACTCCCACATCTCACATGTTCAGGTGGAACCCCAAAACATCCGCATAGTGTCGCTCTTCTCCTCGCATCTGAACGACATTGGGTTCATCCCCGACGCATCCCAACCTCCTTCTGCCGCTGCTGCTGCTGCCGGTGTTGGTGGTGTTGGCGCTAATGGTGCTGGTGCTGGTCGTGATGTTAGTGCACCTAATGCTGCTGCTGCGGCGTCTGTTGATAGAACGGAGGAAGCTCGAGAAGAAGCACTTAGAGCAGTGGCAACCGAAGCAGACATAGCACGAGCCACCACAATGAGTGCCACTGCCGCTGCTGCCGAAGCAGGAACAGCAGTGGCAACAGGAGAAGCAGGGGAAACAACAGCAGCAACAAGAGCAGCAAGAAGAGCAGGTTCCGGGAATCTTCCAGGGAGAGTCTCACCCCAAGCGCAGCAGCAAGCACGACGAGTCTTCCTCGACCAGATCGACCCAAAGATTAAAGACCTGCTCCCTAAAGCCGACATAGTTATTTTCCAGGCGACTAACTGGTGGTACGCGGAAGACAACCAGTGGTTCCTAGGCGGCAGGCAGCAGAAAATAACCCGAGACGCAGCCTATGCGATCGGGCTGGCGACTCTAAGAGACCATGTGGCGCGGTCGGGCTTTAAGGGGAAGGCGGTGGTGATGGGCGTGTCTCCTTCGCACTATATCGTCCCGGTGGCTGGGATGAAGAAGGGGAAATGCGACATTAACACGCGTCTTGACTGGAACCAGGTAAGCAGTTACTTCAGAAATGAATTTAACGGGAAGGCGGTGGTGATGGGTGTGTTTCCTTGGGAAGTTAAGCAGTGATGGGTGCACTATATTGTGCCGGTTCCAGGGATCAAAATGGGGAGATACAATATGAGCAGGCATCTCAACTGGAACTAGGTGAGAGATTACTTCATAGAAAAGTGAGGATGAGCAATAACTTGAGAAAAATGAGTATGAGCAATTACTTCATAGAAATATGAGGATGAGCAGTTGAATGTCTGAATTGTGCAGGGTGCAGCTGATAGAACCAAAGTATATGAACAGCTTTGAAAAAGAATATATATATATATATATATTCCCTCCTGCCTTACCTTCTAAGCAGACGAAGGAAGTGAGGCGTATGGGGTGAGCAAGGTGCAGCTGCAGCTGCTGAAATCATCTCTGTTCTTCCCACTCCTCGCTGCCTTCCTTCCTCCATCCGCTCCTTCCACCCTTCTCCATTTAGACAAAAGAACTGAGGATGGATGACCGATCATTTGAAATGCGCAAAGTGCAGCTGCACGTGCTGAAATCATCTCTATTCTCCCCACTCCTTGTTGCCTTCCTTTCTCCATTCAGACCAAGGAAGTGAGGAGGATGGACAGCTGGTCATTTGAAATGCGGAAGGTGCAGCTGCAAGTGCACAAAGCATCTCTATTCTTCACTCTCCTTGTTGCCTTGCTTTCTCCATTCAGACCAAGGAAGTGAGGAGGATGGACAGCCGGTCATTTGAAATGCGGAAGGTGCAGCTGCAGGTGCTGAAAGGGTCACGGCTGCGATACGTGGACGTGTTACCAATGAGCTTCTGGCGGCCAGACGGGCATGTATCGAAATGGAATGTACCAGGTGCGTCACTGTACTGTGTATTACATATGGGTTGTGTTTTTAAGAGCGAGCTTTATCTTTTCTGATTCTATCCTTTTCAAACACCCCTTCTACCGTATCATCCCTGGGCAGGTGGTAACACTGGAAAGCACGATTGTCTGCACTGGTGTGAAGCTGGTGTAACGGATGCGTGGGTGGAAATGCTATACAATACACTGCTTTATTAAGCAGGAAAACCCAACCCTGCAGTATTCTGGTTAAGAATCCTTGCACATAAAACTATATATGCGGTACACTGACCTAGGGTCCTAATGGTTGCTTCCAATATCAAAATGTCAATCACTACAATTGACAATAAAACTGCATATGCTTGCCCTACATTTTGTGAGTGTTTCCGATACGGTAGACATCTATACGCAGTTCTCATACGGCATAAATATTCACATGGATGAAAAGCTCCATAATACGAGTAACAGTTACAGCACCCGGTTTGTGCAATGGGTTGGGGATTCATGTAACATCAACTACCGGTACTACATGGATGTCAATCTGTGGGCATCCTGTCTGCAGCAGAAGTTGAGTTCACAGCGCATTCCACCACGCCTGAGCACCCCACATCGTGTAGCCCTGCAGGCAACCACCACACGTACACAGTGAGATGCAAGGTGATGCCTTAAAGCCCAGACTCAATCCGTGGGAATCCTGTCAGCAGCAGAGGATGAGTGCACTGCACACTCCACCACGCCCGAGCACCCCACATTGTGTAGCCCTGCAGGCAACCACCACCGCACACCACAGATGCAGAGACCCATGGTGATCAATTAAAGCCCAGATTCTACCAACAAGGTTAAAGCCAATCCGTGAGCATCCTATCAGCAACAGAGGTTGAGTTCACGGCACACTCCACCTCGCCCGAGCACCCCACATCGTGCAGCCATGCGGGCAACCAATCACCACCGCACACCACACATAGACAGATACACGAACAGACACAAGGCGTTTCTTGAAGCCCAGCTCCAAGTCACAGCAAATCTGCTGTGACCTGTTGGGCTGAGTGCTCCCATGACATTTAGTACAGCCTTCCTCTCCTGTATGTAGTGCCATGTATGTGGTACCTGGCATGTATGTGGTACCTGGCATGTATGTGGTACCTGGCATGTATGTGGTACCTGGCATGTATGTGGTACCTGGCATGTATGTGGCACCTGGCATGTATGTGGTACCTGGCATGTATGTGGTACCTGGCATGTATGTGGTACCTGGCATGTATGTGGCACCTGGCATGTATGTGGTACCTGGCATGTATGTGGTACCTGGGAGTGGTACCTGGCATGTATGTGGCGCCTGGCATGTAATACTATATGAAGGCATGGTGACACCGAGCAACTCATTTTTCCATGCCTGTTCCAAGCTCGGTTTTCCCTGCTGGAACCTCTCCCTTATCATCCTAAAGTTGCCCTGTTTCATTCCCACCTTCCCATGCTGCAAGGACACCTTTTCAAACGTTACATGCTCCGAGTTCCATTTTGTGATGAGTATCCATGTCACTTCACACGTCCACCTTCCCCTGCGACACAAACCCGCCCATTCTTAAAGAGTTCACCTTCCCCTGCGACACAAACCCGCCCTTTCTTACAGAGTTCACCTTCCCCTGCGACACAAACCCGCCCTTTCTTACAGAGTTCACCTTCCCCGTCACCGATTTCAAGCTAACGTCTCCCTGTTGCAAGCCCAACTTTCCCAAGCTCACCTTTCCCTGCTCCAAGCTCACCTTTCCCCGTCTGCGCGGCCTGGCAGGCGCGCATGGTCTTGCAGTGCTCCGCCTCGTCGTCGCGGATGTTCACAAACACGTCGTACAGACTCTCCACGCGCGGCGACGGCCGCTCCGTGTCAGCCTGCATCTGAAACCCGTCGAAGCGGTACAGGTTACCCCCGTTATAGTAACTCACCGCTATCTGAACAGGAGGGAAACGTGAAGGAGAAACAGTTAGGATCAGAACCGGGGGGAAAGGAAGTTTCGAGAGTGAGTCAGAATCCGTGTGACTGAAGGAGCTGATTCCAGAAGAGTGGTGAGCTGTAAGAATCCGGTCCTGTAAAGCGTGATATGGAACGGGGTATACACCGCAAACAGGAGCTGCACAATGAGAACTGGATCAATAGTAACGAGGATAGGGTGTAATACCTCAGGAGCAGGCTGCGTCTTGAGAATGTCGCCTTGGCTCATGAGGAACTTATCGTACGTTTCATACGCATGCTCCTCGACCAGCTCCGATAGATGATACGCCATGCGAGGGCTGATCAGGTAACAGAAAATGGCGAAAAAGTAGTAACCGACGGCGATGTGCTGTGCGACGAACCGATCCACCCAGCTCCGGTCGCCGCCGAGAGACTCCATGATCATGAGATGGTGCGTTTCGTTCACGCTCTCGTCGAAATGGGCTTTAAGGAACTCGATCCGTCGCCACCAGCCGAAGCTCTCGTACAGATGGAGGATCGAAACGTACGAGAAGTATGGAACGCGCGCGATCGTTTCGAGGACGTAGAACCGAGCGTACGCGCGCTCCGTCGTCCCGTAAAAGGCGTTCAGGATGTGAAACGCGGCGTCGGTAATCAGTTTGTTGATTCCTCGTTCTAGGGATACCACAGCTCGAGCAGGCTGGGTGTCAGGAAGAGGATTCGGACATAAGGGGAAATTATCGATCGCTGTGGGTATCGAGGATGTGCTAATGGAGGATGTAGGGTCGACAGGAGCAATGGTGGATGCGGAAGCTTCGGCTTGTACACTGTCTCTTGCGGGTGTTTTCAAGTTTCGAACCTTACGAGCTTGAGAGTCTGAAGATGAAGTCGACAAAGGAGACGAGCTGGCTTGGCAAGTGCATGTCAACGTAGCAGAGGCGGTGGGTCTGGAACGCAGCGCTAAGGTCGTCACTTTGGCTTCACGTTGAGATCGTCTGTCAGTGCATTTCAAGTTAGTGCTCTGACATGCCGTGTTGCGTACATTCAGCTGGACGGACGAGGTGGAAGACATGGTGATGGTGCGGAAAAAGCCACCGAAGGCAATTTATTTGATAGAATAGCAATAGATCAACCTTGAGCTAGGAGCTCGCAGACGCGACGCGAGTGCTGAAGTCTGCAAGGAGTGCCGAGGACTCCAGAGTTGGGAAACGCGTTCTAGAGAGGGAAAACTGGAGTAGTTCAACGAGCACGTCTTGTAGCAGTCCCACACAATATGTTGGTGATTGCAAGGACTTTGTGCCAGACTTCGACCTGAAACCGTACTGCATCTTTGTTTCTAGAATCTGAAACTAGCAAGGCCGCTTCCAACCCCGTTCAAGAAAGACTCCAGCAATTGTTGCTTCTCGATCAGTGCGTGCATCTCTGGGGAACTCCTTGTAATTTTGGCTTCCCACTTACCCTTTGCCAGTTGAAATCGGTAATAAGGATTATTGAAGACACTTTTTGCTGGGTGGAAGGTGGAGTTGGTTGTACAGTGTGGGACCTCCCAGTAGCCTGGTTGGAGAGCATGAGAAAGAACCGCCACTTCGGATTGTTAGTGTAAATTCTAGTTGCCCTGGCAGCAAAATTATTCTCAAGATTACAGAACTGTATGTGATGACGCTGTCGGCTTCTGCTTCATTTTACTGGTGGCGCTTGGTGGTCACCAGTAGCTGGCCAATGCTTTCAAGCGCCTTGATGACGTCGCCCTCCGACCTGGCCACCACGAGCCTCATTGGTGTGTCAAGTCGGCGTGGCGAGATGATGGCGAATATCGGGATCGTGCTGGAGAAAAGTGTACAAGACACGGCCAATATCATACATACTCAAAGTATGCCCGAAAACGCTTGCAGGTGTAATCTAGCCAACAGTAATGCGAACAGTGGCACTGTTCCCAGCAGAAATCTGTCTTGGCGCGCCACCCGCAGCTTCACCAGTTGACCCACGTTGCTTCTGCACAGTGAAGGCACCACAGTGCAGGCATGTCAGAAGCGAATCCCAAACCACACACCCATCTGTCCACAAATCGAGCCCCCCAACCCAAACCAAAGCGGCAGTCTTCCCCCCCCCTCCTACCCCTAAACCCCCAAACCGAACCTGCGGGTACCCAACGGTACTCGTTGCGGAACTCCCTCCCGCCAAGTCCCTTGTTCTCGATTGGGATTACCGTGACAAGCAGAAGCCGCAGAAACAAAACTACAACGACCATGGAAACGCACACACATATGTTTCACATATGTGTAAGAAACATTGACATGTTGAGATAGAGAGAAAGATATATTTATAATTTGTATAGATTATTCAGCACAATCTAAGATATACATATGTACATACTCCTGAAAATAATTCTCGACTATTGAATTGAGACCGCCGGAGTGCTGACATCGCTGTTGCGGTATTCACCTGCGAATGAATTGTAAAATGCATGCTCAATGTTGCATTGCACTTCGTTCCTTGATATACAGCTTAACATTCCGCCTAGTTATTTAGTGTCTTCCTTGATATAAAATTAAACTCGTGCCAAACTTCTGTGTGAACACAAGAAGTAGCAAAAACACTGCTATAGCGTTGCGATCATCCACACAACCATCTGCCTTTCTCCATGGTCTCCCATTATAGGGTGACTTTCAGTTGCGGGAGAGAGAGAGATAGAGAGAGGCAATGAATGAGAGAGAGAGAGTGAGAAATTAAAAAATAAAAAATAAAAAACAAAAACAGGTTTGCACAGCAAAGAACCGTTGGGGATTTTCATGATTACCAAATACGATAGGGGTTCGAGTAGGTCAGGTAATTCACAGACGTACCCTACAAATAACCCCTTTACGCTTCGGCAGCTAATGTACTTAGTACGTTGGAATTGTATACGTCTACTTAAAACGGTTCTAGGTGTAAAAGGCTACAGAAACATAAATATTAAATTACTGGGCCAATGTCTTGATGCCGTCAAGCATACACTACAGTGTGTCACCTGCCAAAATAAGGTACGCAGGTTGAGCAATAATAGAAACATGGGTTAGGCACATGTTATGAAGAAGAGGTGAGTCCTGCGAAGAGAGAGAGCGAGCGAGAGTCAGCAAGAGATAGGGGGAGACAGCGTGAGGTGCGGCACGATACCTGCCCTGACGTGATGCTCTACTGATTCCCTGTGTCGAGCGCCTGGTTAGCATTGACTCTCGCCTCAGTTGACGTTGATAGCGCTGCTGCTGGGATGCAAGGCCTGCATCCTGAAAGTACCCTGCTTCCCAGGATTGAAGTGGAAGCTGCTGTTGCATCAATGGCTGCTGTTGCTGCTGCATCCCTGGCTGCTGCTGCTGCTGCATCAGTGGCTGCTGCTGCTGCATCAGTGGTTGCTGCTGCTGTTGCATCAGTGGCTGCTGCTGCTGTTGCATCCGTGGCTGTTGCTGCTGCTGCATCACTGGCTGCTGACACTGCTGCATCAGTGGCTGTTGCCCCTGCTGCATCACTGGCTGCTGCTGCTGCATCAGTGGCTGTTGCTGCTGCATCAGTGGTTGCTGCTGCTGTTGCATCAGTGGCTGCTGCTGCTGCTGCATCCGTGGCTGTTGCTGCTGCTGCATCACTGGCTGCTGACGCTGCTGCATCAGTGGCTGTTGCCCCTGCTGCATCAGTGGCTGCTGCTGCTGCATCAGTGGCTGCTGCTGCTGCTGCATCATCAGCTGCTGTTGCAACTGCAGCACCTGTTGCTGCAGCTGCTGGATCAACAGTGTTGCATCAGGCTGCTGCTGAACCATAGGATCCTGTCCTCTTGATCTCCCATTTGCTCGACCACCTTGACGTGGACGTTGAGCTTGATTTTGTCTCCTCCTAACCCTTCGACCACTAGGCTGTGTGCGTCCTTGCCCAAGATCGGAGTCCTCATTCTCCTCAGCCCCTCCCCCTTCCTCCTCACCTTCCTCGGGGACCACCTCAACCTGTAACCTGAACCTCTGTCTTCGTCTTAGCCGTCGCGTAGCAACTGGCTCATTGACATAAGGCTGGTCTTGCACACGAACATGTGACCAGAATTGTGCCATTGGATTTGCGGTCTGATGGGGGCTTCCATCCATCGGCTGCGCGTCACCAACACCTTGGGTAACATAGTCTGGTGTGAGTGCATGGCCGTCTGAAATTACTTGACCATCATTGTGCACGCTCATATCCTCCCCCACCAATGCACCTCTGTTTGTGGCCTCGCTAGCAATGCGGGAGATGTTGACAGTTGTGTTCGGATTGGGACCAGGTACTTGCATGCCCGTCTCGTTCGCGGACAACACCTCGTCAGAGGTACCGTGTGGACCCTCCATTTGCAGCCGTGCATCCCCCAGTGTAAGGACCTCTAAGGTCACTCCCTGTTCCCTACCATTGGTACTATCAAGCTGCAGCTCCCCTTCTTCAACATCTGATTCATCACAGTCACACTCATCATCAGATGAGCCTTCTTCCTCGTCAACGCCACCCTCACATGCCACCATTGGAGCATCACCATGTGTTCCCGCATTTCCTTCTGTGTCCACACCTCCTATGACCGGGGCGGCAGGCCCCTGATGCTCATCCACCATTTCGGTATTTTCCTCCTCTTCTTCATGGCTACCTGTCTCTTCGTCAGCACCTTCCTCAAGGTCCTCAATCTCAACCACCCACTCAGCAGGTGGGGTCGAACCACGGACACGTTGTGGCCTATCCACATCCTGCCGCATCAAATCTCTGAAGGGCAGTCCCACTCTTCCAGGCAGCTGCCCACTTCCCTGCAGCTGCCCACTTCCCTGCAGCTGCCCACTTCCCTGCTGCTGCCCACTTCCCTGCTGCTGCCCACTTCCCTGCCGCTGCCCACTTCCTTGCTGCTGCCCACTTCCCTGCTGCTGCCCACTTCCCTGCTGCTGCCCACTTCCCTGCTGCTGCCCACTTCCCTGCCGCTGCCCACTTCCCTGCCGCTGCCCACTTCCCTGCAGCTGCCCACTTCCCTGCAGCTGCCCACTTCCCTGCCGCTGCCCACTTCCCTGCTGCTGCCCACTTCCCTGCTGCTGCCCACTTCCCTGCCGCTGCCCACTTCCCTGCTGCTGCCCACTTCCCTGCAGCTGCCCACTTCCCTGCTGCTGCCCACTTCCCTGCTGCTGCCCACTCACTTGCTGCTGACCATGTCCCTGCTGCTGTCGTCGACGGCAATCGTCTCTGAGCCTGTGTTGACGCCCACATGCCGTGCATGCAATGTACGTTCCACTGACCCGTGGAACTACACTTGTCTGCAGGGAAATGTGGTCCTGAACCGACCTTTGTCCTCTCCGTGCCCGTGCCTCTTCCCGATCCTCACATGTGCGGACGTTGTGCCCCTTCTGCTTGCACCTACTGCATTTGCGCAACTTGAGAGGGTCAAACTCACCTCTCGAGCGAATGCGCTTGTTTTTCCGTCGTCCAAACCTTTTCTTGTACTTCGGAGGAAGGGTGGTGCGATCGGGAGTGCAAGAAGATGGATCCAAGGGTTCAATCTCCTGAGCATACATAGCCCTGAGCGTCTCCAGTCTGTACACCCGATGGACCAGGTCAAATGTTTGACTATCTTCTCCCGATGCCGCAAAAATGTGGACACAGGGCAGACCATATTCCCTGCAAGAGATTCGGGGTAAAGATGACAACTTGTTTGTACAGGAAATGAAAATGACAGCTGGCAGGGATGTTGATAATTTATAGCAAAGTAGGAAAGTGTTAAAGTTTAATTAAACGCTAGTAGCAGCCTCACATACCTGGAGTAGTTGCATGTGCACGTCTTGTTTGTAAGGTCCACAATACGAGCTTCATTGCGTTCCGAGTGCTCGATCAGCCAGCGCCCTCGTGGAAGCTCACGCACTGTGTAGCTTGCAGAATCGCGAAAGTTGGCACGCACAACTTCCGTTGCGATTGTGCTCCATTCCCCCGAGGTCTTGGAGTATGCCGTGAACCGATCGCAACGGGTTAGTGCGAGTCTCAGCGCCCAACTTAAAATCACAAAGGCAATTGCCTTATCCCGCAATGTAGACATGGATGCGTGTTGAGACTCAACAGGGTTGGATGTAAGACACCCAAACCTTGGCCTTGGAAACTTGGCTGTTGCCCATCTTGTAGCCAATTGCCCATCCTCCCCCTCCAAGTACGCTCGACCACCAGGACATTGTGCTTCTATCTTTCCCATGCGAAAGTCGTACAACTGCTCCGTCAATGACTCGGATGCATCCCGAATGAGCTGACTCAAATCGAGGCCAAATTTCGCCTTGAAGTTGCGTGTGAGGTGCGTCACGCAATACGAAACTTGTGCATTCGGAAGCACCGCACGACACGCGGCATCCCATCCCTTGGCACGGTCGTGCTTCACTGTCCACGACGCAGAGTTCAACTCTGGAAATGCGCGCACCAGCAGTCTTAGCGGCAAAGAGCATCCCTCCTCGCTTTCAGACTCAACAAAAGCTATGCCCACCGACACATAATGCCCATCCCCATCAAGTACGACAAGGTTTATAGTGTGCCCCCCCCATACTGTTTTATTGTGACACCCGTCAACAATCAGTATCGGCACAGCGTTCAACATCGTTGACCGCGCAACATTTGGTATTACACAAGCACTCAAATAACGACCCTCTCGTCTGCTCAAGTAGACCAAAGTCCCAGGGTTCTTAGCCACGAGCCTCTCCATTATGCTCTGGACGAACTCGTAAGATTTTTCAGTTTGCAAGGGGTCATTCTCTTTCAGGTCCCTAAGGGCCCGCCATGCTGTTACATACGTTGCTTTTGCCCCATGACGCTGCTGCATCTCATTTCTCAGATCATTCGGCGTCAAGCTACCTGTTGGCAATGACATTGCCAGAGCAGTCAGAGTTTTCCTACGGGCATTGTGAAGACGAGCAGTGCATCGTGTATGGTGCAGTAGGTGTGTATCCGTAACTCGCAAGTCGCCACAGCTTGTGGTCCGTATGTTGATCTTGAAAGGACAACGGAAGCCAAGAGCTGTCGTTTGCACACGGCCTCTGGTGGAACGACTCACAACTGAAGGACACCTCACATCCAACCTCACTGTTGTATTCTGAGAGATGACGAAGGGCACCTGCAATCGATGACATTGCTTGTAGATGTCATCCCGTGCCTCAATAACGGTGCTGTAGCGCTTTCCTACTACAAAGTCCATTGTGCTGCCGCGGTTATCCATCTGCGCAAAAAAAAAAAAGAGAAAAAAAAGGAAAACAGATAACATAAGGAGGACAGTGAGCGGAAGGAGGGCAGGGGCCGAAAGAGGGCAGGGCGGGTGCAAATAGAAAATGCTAGCAATTAGAACTGCCGTAACCCTCACCAAAGTGCTGTCACAATAGAGGTAGCGGCCTGATCGGTTAGAGTTGGCACCCTAAGGCGTATGGAATTAGGACCACCAAAACTGTTGAATGAAGACAACGAAGACTTAGGTAAGACATTGTGAGAATAAGACACTTACAATGTAGAATGACCACTATGGACCCTTTGTCCTTTGTACGTAAGCCATTCCGATGAAAGATCTAAAAAGGCACAAGTTTATAACCTTTAGATATTGGCCATTAACAGCTTTAATCAAAGCATTCTTGATTGTACTCTACGGGTATTTGACTTTCTGCCATGTTTCTAAGAAACCAGGAAACCTGACTTTAGGGTTTCGAAGCTCCAAGCTTTCTGTGCCTGCTGGATGACACTCACATTTCGACAGCGAGGGACTTCGAAGTGAGATATGGAAATGATGAGGGGGTGGGTGGAACGGGGGGGGGGGGGGGGGGGCGGGGAAGGAATTGGTTTGGTTTCCGCAGGTTCGTTTTGTGTGCGAGGGAGACTGCTGCTTTGGTTTGGTTTGGGGGGCTCGATTTGTGGACAGATGGGTGTGTTGTTTGGGATTCGCTTCTGACATGCCTGCACTGTGGTGCCTTCACTGTGCAGAAGCAACGTGGGTCAACTGGTGAAGCTGCGGGTGGCGCGCCAAGACAGATTTCTGCTGGGAACAGTGCCACTGTTCGCATTACTGTTGGCTAGATTACACCTGCAAACATTTTCGGGCATACATTGAGTATGCATGATATTGGCCGGTACAAGACACCCTTGCACCTTTTCCTGCTTCTTCTGAGACTGCTGCGCTTGTGGCCCATTCAACATGAATGCGATGTCCTCACTGTACATAATCGTACGATTGCTAAGGGAGATATATATTAGCATTGATAACCCTGAACTGAGCTGTCTGTTATAGTAACGCATTGTTAGCACTAACGCTCGGTTTAGTCATGGCAGGCTGGGCGACATCAGAGGCATGTCATGGAGGAGAACAGTAACCCTTCCAACCGACACGTCATCTCCTTCACATACCACGTCAGGGTGACTTGGACCGAGGGTCGAGAAGTTCGGGTGTCGCGCTCAGTTGCATTGGGACGTATTCCAGACCCTAAGTAGGGTGGAAATGACTGGTTAGGAACGAGGTTCGCCACACAAATGACACTGTCATCCTGACCTCTCTCCAATCCATGTGCCTTGGAGACGACTCGCGAACCTGGTTGCTTCAACGACCCCCTGCTGCCTGAAGACTGATGTACAAACACGCCCTGGAAACTCTTCTACTGGTTCAAGAAGCCAAAACCAAGGGCGTTTCCAGAAGATCCTCCTCTTCTGCTAAATCATTCCACACTTCTTGATTCACTTGACAGTTTCGACCATGTCTTCCGCATATGTCTGTAGCATTCAATAGCATTGCTTTTCCCCCTTGTTCAGCTGTCAGTATAATTTTTATCCAAGTTTTGTACTTTTGGTGGCGCATCAAGTCCAGCTTGTTCAGTTAGTCAAGTTCCACATCAAAATTCACTTTACTGAGCTGTACTTTCCGCGAATTAGCAGATTATGGCGGCAGTGCTACGCTCAACATGTGTTCAGGACATTGTAGCAGGAAAGAAATGCCTCGTTTCCGTAGACGCTAACGCATCACTCTATAACGCGTTGGAACTCCTCCGCCGCCATGACATCACCGCCATGCCCGTCCGTTCCTCGCCGTCATTGGCGCAAGCCGCGCAGAGACGCCTGCTCGCGCAGATGTCGGCGATTTCGGCCTCGACGCGACGCACGCAGAACTACCCGCGGTCAATCATTGCTCCTTCGAAAGTCTGTTTCACTGGAATGGTGAGTTCCCGGAGGGTAACGAGCGTGGAATAGAGCAACACAATTGTCGCCATTTTTCGTTATCAAATTAATTATAGTGAGTTCCCGGAGGATAAAGAGCGTGGTTGGACAGAGCAACACAACGTGATATCCATCCGCGGCCTATGCTAGAGTCACTATTGAAAAGAGAGTGTAGGGAGAGAAAACAAAAATATGAAACACACAAAAAAACACACTCAACAGTGAACTTCGTTATAGGGATTGATATCCTGGATGTTCGTTTCTGTGTCATTGGCTTGGCAGATTTCAGTCATTGACATCACCATCTTCATCGCCAGACGCTGCAGCAGCACCAGCAGTAATGCCACCTCTGCCAGCACCGCCGCCACTGCCAGCGCCAGTTGTGGTAGGAGTATTGCCCTCGAGTCGATTCAGGAACAGCAGAGCGGGGAAGAAACGGAAGGGGAAGGAGAGGGTGAGGGGGAAGGAGCGGGAGAAGGGGAAGGAGCGGGTGAAGGGAGAAAAGGGAGTGAGGGGAGAGGAGGGGGTGAAGGGGGAAAAACCGAACAGGGAGGTGGAGGAAGGGGCAACGGAGGAGGAATGAGCGAGAAAAGGGGAGGGATTAGCGGGGTTGGGCAGCTGGAGTGGCTGAAAGAGGCTCGAGTGGCTGACGTGATGGGGAAGACGGAGGAGACCCGCACCATGCTGGTGCTGGACCCCCATGCCACGTGAGTGAGGGCCTGGGAGGGAGGGAGGGAGGGAGGGAGGGAAGGAGGGAGGGAGGGAGGGAGGGAGGGAGGGAGGGAGGGAGGGGGAGAGAGAGAAGGGAGGGGGTTTTAGGAAGACATAGAAGCAACCTATGCTGAAAGAGGCTCGGGTGGCTGATGTGATGGGGAAGACGGAGGAGACCCGCACCATGCTCGTGCTGGACCCGCATGCCACGTGAGTGAAGGCCTGAGAGGGAGGGAGAGAGAGAGAGGGAAAAGGGCGGGGTTTTATAGGAAGACAGAAGTAACCTATGTTGAAAGAGGCTCGAGTGGGTTATGTGATGGGAAAGACGGAGGAGACCCGCACCATGCTCGTGCTGGACCCGCATGCCACGTGAGTGAAGAGAGAGAGAGAGGGGTTTTATAGGAAGACAGAAGCAACCTCCCCCCACGTGTTGTGAGTCGAGTTTTGAGTCGACTCAAAACTCGAATCCAGGGGCTTCCACCTGTGCTGAGGTCTCTCCTTCCCCACGTGTGCCTGTGCAACCTCCCCCCAGAGCAGTGCTCAACAGTGCACCCTGCAGACCTTGTGTTCCCCGTGCTCTCTGTTCAGGGTACTCCTAGCCATGTAGATGTGATGGGATCTCTTGAGACGTCTCAAAACACTCCTTCTTTCACGCAGACCTTGTGTTCCCCTTGCTCTCTGTTCAGGGTACTCCGAGCCATGTAGATGTGCTGGGATCTCGCGCCTTCCACCGAGCCTTTGTCTGAAAAGCCTGTCCCCAAGACAACGACCAGTGTTCGATCAGACCAGCAATGTGCCTCACACTCCCCCTCTCCTTCCTCTCTCTCGCAGGGTACTCCAAGCAATGGAGCTGCTGGGATCTCGCGGCTTCCATCGAGCCCTCGTTCCCAACATGTGTCCGTGCGAACACGACCAAACCACCGCCATGCCCATGCCTGCACTGCTGCAGTCGCGCCTGGGAGGAGGAGAGGGGGGAACAGCAGGGGAGGAGTACCGAGTGCTGTCTCAGATGGACATTGCTGCCTTCATGCTCAAACACGAGGGGCTGCTGGGCTTGGCACTGGCTAAGAGGTACGCTCAAACCAGCACCATGGCTGTGCTGTGCTGTGCTGGCAAAAAAGGGGGAACAGCAGGGGAGGAGTACCGAGTGCTTTCTCGGATGGGCATTGCCTCGTTTATGCTCACACACGAGGGCCTGCTGGGCTTGGCACTGGCTAAAAGGTATGATGAAGGTCGCCGCATGCCCATGCTGGTAGTAGCTACTATCTAGAAGGTATAATCAGAGCCTGTGCTGTTGCAGTAGCAGCTAGAAGGGCTTGAGATTTGAGAAGGAGATGGATGGGAGGAGTACTTTGTTATCTTATATAGAAATTTATTGTTCCTCGACATCATCGGCCTATTAGCTCAGCTGGTTAGAGCGTCGTGCTAATAACGCGAAGGTCACAGGTTCGAGACCTGTATGGGCCACATTTTGTTGCTTCCTGCATTCCTTCCTTTTCTTCTTCCTCTTTTCTTCTGGGGCTGCCATTGGCTAAGAGGTATGATCAGACTGCCTGCCGTAGCTGTGCCGCCAGGGAAGAGGGGACAGGGACGGCAGGGTAGTTTTGAGACGTTTCAAAACACGCTGTGCCGCCAGGGGAGTTTTGAGACGTTTCAAAACACGCTGTGCCGCCAGGGGAGTTTTGAGACGTTTCAAAACACGCTGTGCCGCCAGGGGAGTTTTGAGACGTTTCAAAACACGCTGTGCCGCCAGGGGAGTTTTGAGACGTTTCAAAACACGCTGTGCCGCCAGGGGAGTTTTGAGACGTTTCAAAACACGCTGTGCCGCCAGGGGAGTTTTGAGACGTTTCAAAACACGCTGTGCCGCCAGGGGAGTTTTGAGACGTTTCAAAACACGCTGTGCCGCCAGGGGAGTTTTGAGACGTTTCAAAACACGCTGTGCCGCCAGGGGAGTTTTGAGACGTTTCAAAACACGCTGTGCCGCCAGGGGAGTTTTGAGACGTTTCAAAACACGCTGTGCCGCCAGGGGAGTTTTGAGACGTTTCAAAACACGCTGTGCCGCCAGGGGAGTTTTGAGACGTTTCAAAACACGCTGTGCCGCCAGGGGAGTTTTGAGACGTTTCAAAACACGCTGTGCCGCCAGGGGAGTTTTGAGACGTTTCAAAACACGCTGTGCCGCCAGGGGAGTTTTGAGACGTTTCAAAACATGCTGTGCCGCCAGGGAAGAGGGGACAGGGACGGCAGGGGATGAAGGAGTACCGAGTACTGTCCCAGATGGACATTGCTGCGTGCATGCTGAAGCACGAGGGGCTGCTGGGCTCGGCACTGGCTATGAGGTAAGCTCAGCCCAGTACATGGCTGTGTTGCCGTAGAGGGGAGGGAAGGGGGGACAGGGTTTAGGGGAGGAGTACTGTGTGCTATGGCAGATGGACATTGGTGCGTTCATTTTCCAGGGGCTGCTGGGCTTGGCGCTGGATAAAGGGTGAGCTCAGCCCACTGCCATGGCTGTGGGGCCGCCAGGGAAGGGGGGATGCGGCAGAGTAGGAGCATCGCGTTCTATCTCAGATGGACATTGCTGCGCTCATGCTCAAGCACGAGGGGCTGCTGGGCATGGCACTGACCACGAGGTAGGCTCAGCCCAGTACATGGCTGTGCTGCTGTAGACGGGAGGGGGGGGGGGGACGGGTTTGGGGGAGGAGTATTGCAGCGTTCATGCTGAAGCACGAGGGGCAGCTGGGCTTGGCACTGACCACGAGGTAAGCTCAGCCCACTACATGGCTGTGCTGCTGTAGAGGGGAGGGGGGGTCAGGGTTTAGGGGAGGAGTGCCATGTGCTATCGCAGATGGACATCGGTGCGTGTGTTCATGCGTGCTCAAGCATGAAGGGCCTTTAGGCTATTTTGGATCTGCTAGTGGATCTGCGTCCCATCCCCTTGTCTTTCACAGGGCCTTTAGGCTATTTTGAGGCGTCTCAAAACACTCCTTCTTTCACAGGGCCTTTAGGCTATTTTTGAGGCGCCTCAGAAATCGTCAGGGTTTAGGGGAGGAGTGCCATGTGCTATCACAGATGGACATCGGTGCGTGCGTTCATGCGTGCTCAAGCATGAAGGGCTTTTAGGCTTGGCGCTGGCTAAGAGGTAAGTCGGATCCACATTCAACCCCATGAGGTGACTGTTGTGAGGGGCTGCTGGGAGTGGTGGGAAGGGGGGTGCGGCAGGGGAGGAGTACCGAGTGCTGTCTCAGATGGACATTGCTGCATTTATGCTCAAGCATGAGGGGCTTTTAGGCCGAGCACTTGCTAAAAGGTATGAGCAAAGCAAACCTCCACCTTTGCTGTGCTGCCAGGAAGGGGGCATGGCTGGGGAGGAGTACCGAGTGCTGTCTCAGATGGACATTGCTGCATTTATGCTCAAGCATGAGGGACTGCTGGGCTTGGCACTGGCTAAGAGGTACGCTCAGCCCACTCGGCTGTGCTGCTGCGGAGGGGAGCTGTCTGGTTGTAACGAATCAACTAAAATTTTAAAAATCCTTTGGCAGGCCTATTAGCTCAGCTGGTTAGAGCGTCGTGCTAATAACGCGAAGGTCACAGGTTCGAGACCTGTATGGGCCATAGTTCAAAGTTGGAACCTCTTGGTTCCTTTCACTCGCGCCTTTTTGTCATGGACATTTGAAGAATAGACGACATTTGGCTGATCTGGCCGTCTGTCGTCTCGGTGACTCCATCCACTCGTCTTCTAGACGCATTCAACTTCCTTTTCTCTCTCGTTCTTGTTTTCTTCCCCTCTCATCCTTGCATTGCAGCATCGATGACATTGGGCTGGTCTGGCCGTCTGTGGTCTCCGTGACTCCTTCCACTCCTCTTTTAGACGCCTTCAACATGTTCCGAATCAGAGGGGTGAGTGCATGTCTTAGTGGCTGCAAAGAGGCTGCAAGCAGTAGAGGAACTTAGTGGGTGTGCACTTATTTTTTTCTCTCTGTGACTCCATCCTCTCCTCTTCTAGACGCATTCAACATGTTCCGAATCAGAGGGGTGAGTAAGTGTGTGTTATAGCAGAGGCTCCAAAGAGGCTGCAAGCAGTAGAGGACCATAGTGGGTGTGCGCTTGAACTTTTCTCTCTGTGACTCCAGCCTCTCCTCTCTTAGACGCATTCAACATGCTCCGAATTAGAGGGGTGAGTGAGCAGCGCATGCCTCAAGCTAGTGTTGGCCATTGACATGCCAATGGTTGCAAATCGGCAGTCAATCATTGATGCACCCACACCCACCCCTCTGCTGCACGCAAGATGTCTAGTTTTGAGGCGCCTCAGAACTGAGCTTGGCAATCAGGTGACTTTTGAGTCGACTCAAAAGTCACCTCAATTATTTATGCATCTACATCCACCCCTCTGCTGCACGCAACATGTTTCATCTCATAAAGTGGGTGTATTCCATGTCAACCCATCTCCGCCCATCACCACCCCTCTGAAACCCAACAGATAAGCGCAGTAGCAGTGGTGCAGCCTAAGCCAGCTCCGCCAGCATTTGTGGTGGAGGAGGGGGGGGGTAGGGGAGCAGTGCCAGTGCTGCAGCCTTTGATCCTCCACCTGCCACCCCACCCACCCATCCCCACCCCTCCCAACACCTGCAGATAAGCGCAGTAGCAGTGGTGCAGCCTAAGCCAGCTCCGCCAGCAGTCGTGGTGGAAGAGGGGGGTGGGGACTCAAATGACGAGGAGGGGGGGACTGAGAAGACGAAGGAAGCTTCTGTTGTGCTTCCCCAGTGGCCCATGGGGGGATGTGGCAGTGTGCTGACAGGCACTCTGTCAGCATCGGACGTCAAGCAGGTGTGTGTGTGTGTGTGTGTCAGACCATGCATGCAAGGGTGCATGGTTGAATGAGCGCGTGTGTGTGTATCTTTAAGGCATCCTCAGTGGCCCATGGGGGGATGCGGCAGTGTGCTGATAGGCACTCTCTCAGCATCGGATGTCAAGCAGGTGTGTTGTCATGCGTGCATGGTGGCATGGTGGCATGGTGGCATGGTGGCATGGTGGCATGATGGCATGGTGGCATGATGGCATGATGGCATGGTGGCATGGTGGCATGATGGCATGATGGCATGGTGGCATGGTGGCATGGTGGCATGGTGGCATGGTGGCATGGTGGCATGGTGGCATGGTGGCATGATGGCATGGTGGCATGGTGGCATGGTGGCATGGTGGCATGGTGGCATGGTGGCATGGTGGCATGGTGGCATGGTGGCATGATGGCATGGTGGCATGGTGGCATGGTGGCATGGTGGCATGGTGGCATGGTGGCATGGTGGCATGGTGGCATGATGGCATGGTGGCATGGTGGCATGGTGGCATGGTGGCATGGTGGCATGGTGGCATGATGGCATGGTGGCATGGTGGCATGGTGGCATGATGGCATGGTGGCATGGTGGCATGATGGCATGGTGGCATGGTGGCATGGTGGCATGGTGGCGTGGTGGTATGGTCATGTGTGTGTGTGTGAGAGTGCGTTTATCCACCCCAGGTGGCTAACAGCTTTTGCTCTGTTCTCCTCGTTTTGGCAGGTGGATGTTGGTACTCTGCTCTCCCTCACGCCCACCACCACTGTAGCTGATTTCCTCTCCGCCAAACAAAAGGCAGCCGGAAATGCAGCACCGGAGAAGCAAGCACCTGCTGTAGCAGTGACGCCAGCAGCTGTAGCAGTGACGCCAGCAGCTGTAGCAGTGACGCCGGAAGCTGTAGCAGTGACGCCAGCAGCTGTAGCAGTGACGCCGGAAGCTGTAGCAGAAGTGGTGACATGCGCCAGGTGTGTATGTGTGGCAGATGGGAAGGGGAAAGAACGGGTTCTGATCCTATTTATGAGGCACCTCATTCTTGAGACGAATTTTGAGGCGCATCACATAAGGGTGGTCTGACCACCGCCCTTTTAACCGCTCAACCCATCCACACCCCTCTGCACTTCCCCTCTTCCCTGTCCCCCTTTGTCCAGCGCCTCTTCTCTGCGTCATGTGCTTTCCCTGCTAGTCAACCACCGAGTATGGGTGGTCAAACCCCATCCGTCCTGCCTCCTACACTCTCTCGCTCCGGCTCACCTGCTCCCCTCTCCCTTTTCCCTTCCCCACACCCCGACACAGTGCCTCTTCTCTGCGCCATGTGCTCTCCCTGCTAGTCTCCCACCATGTGCATCGAGTCTGGGTGGTCAAACCCCCTCCAGTCCACCCCCTCCCTCCTCCTCCTCCCCCTCCCAATAACGAATCACCTTCTAACGAGGCAGCTTCTTACGAGGACACAGCACCCATCACCGAAACTCCACAAGTATCATCTCCCAGCAAGCCCCCCTCAAGTCCAAGTCTGCCCTGTTCCGGGCCTGTGCTTGAAGGCGTTGTGACTATAACAGACGTGCTCCGAACCATGCGAGTGCTCCCGATCCTGCACCCATGGTCCGAGGACAGCGACCCCGTGCTTATAAAGAGGGGAGGCGGAAAAGGAGAATCCGGCAACAGCAGCAGTGGCACTACACGTGGCCGTGCTGGTGACAGCAGCAACAGCCGTGGTAACCGTAACAGCAGCAGTGGCGACGTGGGGTTACCAGGTGCTGACAGCAGGTTTGGGCGCAGTGCGAGCTGTAAGGTGACTGGTGCTAGGCGCTGGAATCCAAACATCTCCCTCTCTATTGATGTGAACACGTGGCTTGGGACCAGCTCTGGTGGACGGGCAAGAGGAGGAACAGCAGCAGCAGCAGGAGGAGGAAGTGGTGGTAGTGATGGTGGTGCTGGCGGCGGCGGCGGCGGCGGTGGTGGTAGTGTTGGTGGTGGGGGGGAAGGGGAGGTTGTGGGCGCAGAAGGTGAAGGAGGGGAGGAGGAGGAGGGTGACGATTGGTCGGTGACATCGATGACAAGTGATGATGATGCTGATGTGGCAGGACCTGCTACCGTAACGGGGACTTCAGGGTCGAGTTTTGACTCGTATTATTGGCTGGACTGGTGGGCTGAGAAGCCGGCCTTAGCATGACACTTATCAAAGGTCAGAATGCTTTGTGCATATTTAATGAACAATATTATTTTTCCACCACTTTATTTTCTGCCTTTGCGATGTAGCATGTTGAATCGTAGTTTTGCGATGACAATACCATTTAGCTTCTTGACGTTGGTGATGTATTACTAGAACTATCATTATACACATTCAAGTCCTAATTTCGAAGGATTATATGTAGGCAGGCTAAAAGATTAGATCAGGACACATTGAGCTTTTGAGGACATCTGAAGAGAGTTGAGGGGAATGCAAGCAGCTCATGTATAGAGCTTCTCTGGACCATCAGTACATTGCGTACACTTCAAGAGAGTTCACGGTCTTCGTTATAGACGATCTGTAACGGAGCAGCCTGTTCAGGATAGTTGGTTTTTTTCCTCACGACGATTCAACTTCCACCCATTTTTGGCTTCATTAGAGCGGAGATGAAACGGCTTGAATATCGCAATTTCCCCTCTGTAGCGTACTACATCTTCTGCTGAAGGGCTTCGGAAGGAGATGAAACGGCCGGTGGAGGAGGTTTCTACAGCTGTGAAATCATGGTTGAACCACAACCACACACCCAGCAACACCTACCTTTAGCCGTTCGATTGTCTAACCAAACCAAGCTCTATGTGGTTAGTAGAATCCGCACCTATTGCAAGCCGTTCGATCCCCCAAACCAGCCTCACCATACCGGCTTCACGTAACTCGCTGTGTCAAACCGAAACAGACGGTGTGTTGTGGGTGGATCCCTGGATATCTCCAGCTATGGAGGAACCCGAGACTCTGAACCCGAGACTTATTTTAGGTGCGACTCTAGAGTATTTTCGAGTTAGTGCCGGTTCGTCTCCCAAACCGTCTTTGCGCCGCAGCCGATGTAGCGCGAGCTGTGCTCTTCGGCGGAACCTCACGCGCGCAAAGAATGCAGCGTGATGATTGCGCTTTACGCCAGTCCTTGCCGCGAATGTGCGGTTATTGGTAGCAAGCAAATCTGCGTCGCGGTTTCATTCGCAGAATCTAGCACGAGTCGCGAAGGAGACAAGCGCGACCAGCGGAGAGTCCGTGAAACAGATTGATTCGGCGATACCGAGGAGGAGTCAAGCAGGCAATCAGACAACAAGAAAGCAGGCAAGCAGCATTGCAGCAGGGACTTACGAACTGCCGCGTCGCGTCGCCACTTGACGAAATACAAGAAAGGTCCCGGGAATCTGGCGAACAAGCGAGCAGCGGTTGCCACGCGTTTCAGCAGGTATCGATAGGGCCGTTTCATCTTCTCACGTGAATCTAAGTTACGAAAAACTCACGCGAAAATCCGATGCCGCGGTTGGGGATTGCGGATTGAACGCCTCGCGGCGCGACTCGATAGGGCCGTTTCATCTCCTCTCAAGAGCCCGCATCGCGCGCTAGTACACGTACGGCTTCTTCGCGTACATTGACATGTAACGCTAGTGGTCGCGCGAGACGAGACGAATGCAACCATTCACTCTGTGCATACCCACTCTCAACTCAACCACCGACGAGTCAACGCTGTGCAGTAGCTTCATAGGCTCCAAACCAGAAAGGATCTACAGTAAGGTTATTCGCTACATCGGCAGCGTTCGCGGCTCGGGAACGCGAGGCTGTCGAGTCGAACCTCCTGGTGCAGCGGCAACAGCAGTGTTGCGACCCGAATCGCGTGAAACAGCTCGTTTCAAACAGCTTCTAGCGGCGCACTCCGCGCGGCGAGGGGCTAAGAGTCGCAGGGGAGGAAAGGGGAGGGAGGAAGGGGAGGGGGGGGGAAGGGGAGGGGGGGAAAGGTGAAGAGCTGAAGCAGGCGCGTTTACAGGGCACGGCGAGAGACACGGGGAAAGAAGATGTACAGTTACTGGGAGCAGGAGAGGTTAGGAGGAGGAGAGGTTAGGAGGAGGAGAGGTTAGGAGGAGGAGAGGTTACTGATAGGGCACAATAGCGGATGACGGGAAAAGCAACTCGCACCGTCCTCGGAGGGAGAGGTTACTAGGAGAAAAAGAGGTCATAGGGGCAGACCACCGTACAACGGCTGCCATACCGCGTTGCGAGGGGAGCAAGGGGTACTTAATCCTTCCAGCAGCGCGCCATTTCAGGTCGTCGCCGCAGCAGCAGTCGTTTTCAGCAGGAGGCCCGCAGTAACGTCTGTCAGTAAGAGCGTGAGGGTCACGGGAAGCATCACGGGAAGCACTTAGAAGCTATTGCACTTACCTGTTTGGCTGTTCTTAGTCGGAGCTTCACCACAAGGGCCGTTTCAGTTGGCCTTTCCCGTAGGCCATTTCAGAGAAGCGTTCTGTTGAAAAGATCTGAGGGCCTGAGGGTTGTCTGTACGTCCTCAAAGTGCTCTGCTCCGCAACGTGGGGTTTCCCACCCCACCACTAATTTAATCTCCGCGTGCAACGGTCTAGAACGTCATGGCGACTGCCGAATGCCGCCGCAAGTTAATCTCCACCATGCCTCTATCTCCCCTGCTCCTCCTCCTGCTGCTATCCCTCGCTCCCTCCACCTTCCCCGCTGCGTCCGCCGCCACCGCTGCTGCTGGTGCCAATGCTGCCGGTACTGCTGATAGTGGTGCCAGTTCCGCTGGTATCGGCTTCGGGTTTGTCAACGATCTCACCCTTCCCTCCTCCTCCGCGCTGTACGGCGCCCAGGACGGGCGCTCACTCTCAGGCAGCCACGTGGCACGACGCCACAGGTCGCTGCAGGACCAGCCAACGGCCGTCCCACCGCCCAGCACAGGCAAAGACGCTCCCGCCACCAACGGACCTGCCATTAACTCACCTGTCAACTCACCTTCTGTTAACTCACCTTCCATTGGCTTACCGGCCATTCGCTCACCACCATCCGCGCCTGCTCCTCCCGTCCCTGCTAATTCACCCCCTGTTGATCCGGGAACGGACGAAAATGGCAACCCGGTGAAACCGGGGGAGGTGGCGTTTCAGCGGAACGTTCCGCCGTCCCCGCCGCCCCCACCGCCGCCCCCTCCGGTCGTCTCTTTCATGCAAGGCACCTACATCAACTGCGGCAGCAACGAATCGCTCAAGAACCCGCTGTACACCTGGGAGGCGGATCCCTTTTCGGGCAGGTTCGGGAGGATTTTCCGGGCAGGCGTGATCAAGACGACGATGAATCGGACGGTGGCGGCGGGCAGGATGGGGAATGGGAAGGTTGAGTTTAGAGAGACTGGGTTGCTGAAGACGCCCCCAGGGGTGGATGCGCGGGTGTTTGAGACAGTGCGGTTCTTTAATGACCTCGCTCCCAACGTTTCTACTTACACAATTCCGGTGAGTGCTGGCTGGAAGGGTGGCAGGATGGGGTATGGCAGGATGGGAAAGGGGAAGGTGGAGTTTAGCGAGACGGGGGTGCTGAAGACGCCGCCTGGGGTGGATGCGCGGGTGTTTGAGACAGTGCGGTTCTTTAATGACCTCGCCCCCAACGTCTCCACTTACACAATCCTGGTGAGTGCTGGCTGGTTGTCGGTTCGAGGCTGGTCTGGTTGCTGTGGGGTATGATAAGGTGGGGGTGGATGCGAGGGTGTTTGAGACGGTGCAGTTCTTTAATGACCTCGCTCCCAACGTCTCTACTTACACAATCCCGGTGAGTGCCGTGCTGTGCTGACTGGATGCCTGCCTGGGGCTGGTCTGGTTGCTGCACGCACACTCTCTCTGTACTTTGCTGAGATCGTGTGCATGACAGCCAAGCTGTCTTTTGAGGCGCCTCAAAAGACTTTGCTGAGATCGTGTGCACGACAGCCAAGCTGTGCCGCTTTCAAACAACGCTAATGCAAACGCCTCATCCCACCCCCCCCCACCCTCTCTGCACTGCAGGTCCCCGGCCCTCCCACCAACGTGTTTGTCCGCCTGTACTTTGCTGAGATCATCTACACGACAGCCAAGCTGCGGCGCTTCCACGTGGCAGTGGAGGGCGCGCCCGTGCTGACCAACTACAGCGTGCCACGTGGCACTGTGCGAGTGGAGGAGTTCGTTGTGCCCGTTCTGGACGGCTCTGTGGACATTGCGTTCATCCGGGGGGAGATTGGCGAGCCCATGATCAGCGCCATTGCGGTGAGTTCTGCACCGCACAGCACCTCATAGTACCGCACAGCACCGCAGTGCAACTCGCAGAACCGCACAGCAGTTTCTGTGCTGGACGGTTCTGTGGATATTGTGTTCATCGGGGGTGAGATGGTGAGCCCATGATCAGTGCTATTGCGGTAAGTTCTGCACCGCACACCACCACACAGCACCTCAGGGTATCCCACTGTGCGAGTGGAGGAGTTCGTTGTGCCTGTGCTGGACGGTTCCGTGGATATTGCGCTTATCCGGGTAGAGAGTGGCGAGCCCATGATCAGTGCCATAGCTGTGAGTATCGCACACCACAGCCCAGCACTGCACTGCACCGCACACGAGCTTCTGTGCTGGACGGTTCTGTGGACTGGAAATTGCGTTTATTCGGGGGGAGATTGACAAGCCCATGATCAGCGCCATCGCGGTGAGTTCTGCACCGCACTGCATCTCTCAGAATCGCACAGCAGCTACCGTGCTGGACGGCTCTGTGGACATTGTGTTCATCCGGGGAAGATTAGTGAACCCATGATCAGCACCAACCCTCCACGTCTCCACGCAACCCACATATCCCCCCTCTGCCTGCCTCTCTGCCTCCCTCTCTGCCTGCCTCTCTGCCTCCCTCTCTGCCTGCCTCTCTGCCTGCCTCTCTGCCTGCCTCTCTGCCTGCCTCTCTGCCTGCCTCTCTGCCTGCCTCTCTGCCTCCCTCTCTGCCTCCCTCTCTGCCTGCCTCTCTGCCTGCCTCTCTGCCTGCCTCTCTGCCTGCCTCTCTGCCTGCCTCTCTGCCTCCCTCTCTGCCTCCCTCTCTGCCTCCCTCTCTGCCTGCCTCTCTGCCTCCCTCTCTGCCTCCCTCTCTGCCTCCCTCTCTGCCTGCCTCTCTGCCTGCCTCTCTGCCTGCCTCTCTGCCTCCCTCTCTGCCTCCCTCTCTGCCTCCCTCTCTGCCTGCCTCTCTGCCTCCCTCTCTGCCTCCCTCTCTGCCTCCCTCTCTGCCTGCCTCTCTGCCTCCCTCTCTGCCTGCCTCTCTGCCTGCCTCTCTGCCATCCCCTCCCCCTACAGGTGGTCCTGCTCACATCTGCCATGTACAACCTCTCTGCCCCCACTGCCACATCTCACCCATTGGCTGCTCAACTCTACTCATATGTCCCCCTCTACCTCCCTCACTCCTCCCTCTCCCTCCCCTACAGGTGGTGCCACTCACAGCCGGCATGTACAACCTCTCTGCCCCCACTGCCACATCGCGCATCATGGGTACGTCCCTTGCTTGCCTATCTCCCTGGGTGTGATGAGTCGATTTTTTAGTCCGACTCAAAACCCCACTGCCACATCGCGCATCGAATCATGGGTACGTCCGTCGCTTGCCTGTCCCCCTGGTATCTCTGCCTCTTTCCTGAATCCCCGCACCCTCCCCTGCCCCCTTCCAGCCACGGACTATCGCTTCGGCTGCGGTCTCTTCCTCCCGATCACCGACCTCACTCAGAGGATTTGGAATCTGCTACCCTCTGAGGTCTACACGCCCAAGGACCCCGGGTCACGGCGCTACAACAAAACCGAGTCAGCGGCCCTCACGTGGCCGCAGACTGCTGACAACGCCGACAAGCCGCCCTTCATGTTCCCCCTCGACCTCACCACGGTGAGCTTCCCTACACCTTTACCCCTAAGCCCCTGTACGTACTGCTGAGAATGTGTTCGGGAGAGAAGGGAAGGGCGTGGGCTGTGGGCAGCAGTCACAGCGCTACAACAGAACCGAATCAGCCACCCTCACGTGGCCGCAGACTGCTGGCAACGCCGACAACCCGCCCTTCATGTTCCCGCTTGACCTCACCACGGTGAGCCCCTGCTGCTGTGCTGTAAGTTGAGTTCTCTGGCTGCACACGTGACAACAACTTGACCTGTGTGTCTCTGTGTCTCTCCCATCCCTTCCTCTACAGGCGGGTCTTTAGTCGAGTATTCGAGCTATGCGGGCTACAACCACAACACCTTCCTTCTCCCTGTTGTTTCCCCCTGCCATTCCCCCTGCCTTTTTCCCTGCCATTCCCCTTCCTCACCCCAATTCTCCCTTCCAGGCGGGCCTACACTCAGTTGAGCATTCCAGCTATGCGGGCTACAACAACAACGTCTCCCTCTCTATTGTTCCGCCTGCCATTCTTCCTTCCTCAACCCATTTCCTTCCCCCTTCTAGGCGGGTCTACATTCAGTGGAGTATTCGAGCTATGCGAGCTACAACGACAACACCTTCCTCAACTTCTCCCTCAAAACCACTCCCTTGTTTCTCACCGCTGCTCTGCATCCTTCCTTCCCTCTGCGGTCACTCCATCCCTCCACAGGCGGGGTTGCACTCAGTAGAGTATTCCAGCTACGCGGGCTACAACGACAACACCTTCCTCAACTTCTCCCTCCCCGTCGACCCCAACACCGCCTACCGCATCGACCTTGGATTTGAGGAGCTCTGGTACTACTACGTGAGTGCCCTCTCCCCACTTGCTCTCCTTCTCGCACTTCCCCTCTCCCGCTTGCTCCTCCTCTTGCAATTCCTCTCACCTGCTTGTTCTCCCCGCTCTTACTCTCCCCCCGTTGACCCCAACACCGCCTACCGCATCGACCTTGGCTTTGAGGAGCTCTGGTACTACTACGTGAGTGCCTTGTCCCCTCTTGCCTGTTACCACTGCCTTTGAGGCTGTTACCGCTGCCTGCCTGAAAGGACTACACCATACTACGCTCACTGTTTCGTGCTTTTTTCTTCTTCTTCTTCTTCTTCATTTTCACCCACCCCCTTCCTTCCACGTTTTTCACGTTTCTCCGCTGCGCCGTCCATGCACAGACCGCTCGTCTGCTGGACATCTATGTGGACGGCGAGCTGATGATCAAGGAGCTGGATCTTGCACCCATTCTCCCCCCCCCCCCCCCCCCCCCCAACATGCAGACCGCCCGTCTGTTGGACATCTATGTGGACAACGAGCTCATGGTCAAGGAGCTTGATCTGTGGCTTACCTCTTCAATCCACCCCTTTCCCCTCCCCCACACTGGCAGACTGCGCGTCTGTTGGACATCTATGTGGACAGCGAGCTGATGGTCAAGGAGCTTGATCTGGCCACTGTGGCGGGTGTTGGTGTGCCCTTTGTCGTCACACTCAAGGGTCAGTCAGTCAGTTAGTTTGCCTCCTCAGTAGTCAGTCAGTCGGTCAGCCAGTCGGTCAGCCAGTCAGTTGTCAGAGACCAGTCAGTCCCCTATACCTCACTAGACTAAGGAGCTTGATCTGGCCACTGTGGCGGGTGTTGGCGTGCCCTACACCGCCACCCTCAAGGGTCAGTCCTTCTCTACCCTTTTTTTTTTGTTTTTTTGTTTTTTTTTGCTGAATACTTCTGAAAATAGGTTCATGGTTCCAGAAATTTGCCCCTGAACATTTTCCTCTGACTTCCCCCCCCCCCCCCCCCTCCCCTCCCCTCTCCCCACTCTCCTTGCCCACCCCCGGCCTCCTCTTCTCTTCCTCTCTCCTGCCCACTCGTTCCCCCTTCCGTATCAACAGCTGTCTCGGGTCCTTCAGGCTTCATGAACATTTTTCTTCAACACCTCCACCAACTCAATGCTCTCCCACTCCTCGTTCCCCCTCCCTTCTCCCCTTCCCCATCTCACTCTACCAGCTGTCTCGGGTCCTTCAGGCTTCATGAACATTTTTCTCAACACCTCCACCAACTCCCTTCACAAGTGAGAGCCTCGAGATCCTGCCGCCTCTTTTCACACGCTGCCAGTAATCCTCTATTTTGTTGAAATCACTTCTGAGGATTCTCATCGACCCCCGCCCCGCCCTCCCCCTTGACTTCTGAGTCGACTCGCTGCCAATAATCACCTCTCTTCCAGCAGCAACGTGTTTCGTCAGCACACTTGGGCTCTTCCGAGTCATTCCCACCGACCCAACTCAAATCCCCCTCCCTACCTACCAACCCCACCCTCGCCCTCCCCCTTCATCCAACAGCAACGTGTTCATAAGCACGCTAGAGCTTTTCCGAGTGATCCCCATCGACCCCACCAACCAGGCTGCTCTCCTCTCTGCCGCCAAGCCTCTCCCTCCGCCCGCTCCCTTCGCTGCTGCTGACACCACCGCCGCTTCTGCCTCATCCCAGTCCTCCTCTGCTGTAAGTCTCTCATTAGGGATTTCCACTGTATCCTCTCACTCCCTCTAGCACTCCTCTCTGCTGCCAAGCCGCTCCCTCCGCCCGCTCCCTTCGCTGCTGCTGACACCACCGCCGCTCCTGCCTCATCCTAGTCCTCCTCTGCTGTAAGTTTTACCTGCTTCTTCCCTGTCCTTCTGCTCTAAGAATTTATTCTTTCGGTTTCTGTAGTTCCCCTTGCTGCTGCTGCTCGCCCCGCTCCCTCCTCCCGCTCCCTTCGCTGCTGCTGACACCACCTCTCCTCGCACCTCCTCTTCATCCTCCTCTGTTTGTTTGTTTGTTTGTTTCCCTCCTCCAATCACTGCCGTCGTCCACTTTCTTGTCCTTCCCACCTTCTCCCCCCCTCCTCTCCCCACTTTCTCGCCTCTTCTCCTCCTCACAATCACACCATCTGGCACCTTCTCCTCTCCCACAGGCGTTTGGCATAGGCATAGTGGTGGGCATGGGGATCATTCTCCTCCTCCACTCCCACAGGCGTTTGGCATAGGCATAGTGGTGGGCATGGGGATCATTCTCCTCCTCCACTCCCACAGGCGTTTGGCATAGGCATAGTGGTGGGCATGGGGATCATTCTCCTCCTCCACTCCCACAGGCGTTTGGCATAGGCATAGTGGTGGGCATGGGGATCATTCTCCTCCTCCACTCCCACAGGCGTTTGGCATAGGCATAGTGGTGGGCATGGGGATCATTCTCCTCCTCCACTCCCACAGGCGTTTGGCATAGGCATAGTGGTGGGCATGGGGATCATTCTCCTCCTCCACTCCACAGGCGTTTGGCATAGGCATAGTGGTAGGCATGGGGATCATTCTCCTCCTCCACTCCCACAGGCGTTTGGCATAGGCATAGTGGTGGGCATGGGGATCATTCTCCTCCTCCTCCTCGCCTCTTGAGCCAACTCTAAACACACCACCATCCTCCCCCTCCCTCCTCTCCCCTCCTCCCCTCCCACAGGCGCTAGGCATAGGCATAGCGGTGGGCATGGGGATCATTCTCCTCCTCCTCGCCTCGCTCGCCACCTGCATCGTTCTCAGAGCTCACTACCGCAACAGGCAGGGACGCATTGCAGCAGCGGCCGCAGCAGCAGCAGAAGCAGAGGCAGGCTACTACGACGGCACTTCTTCAGCCAAGTCCAAGAGCGGCTCTGGTGGTGCTGCTGGCGGTGGCGGTGCTTTCTCCGACAGTGGAATCCTGGCTCTCATCTCGGGCAAATTCGGCTCCTCTGCAGAAGGTCAGTCAGTGCAGCATTCTGTAGGCCTTTTTTTTTATTTTATTTTTTCCCCGAAGTGCCAAAACCTGTCTATTTGGAGCGCGCATATTCACCCTCGCTGAGCTGTAAATCCCAACCAACTGACTGACTGACCCCCTCCTTCCCCCTTCCCATTTCTCGCCCCATCACACCAGATGACAAGCACAAGGCGTTCAAGAATCTCGACGCCGAAGCCACGGCCAAGACTGGTCTCTTAGGAGCGCGCATATTCACCCTCGCTGACCTCCACACCCTCACCCGTGGTTGTCCTCCCTCCCCCTCCCCTTTCTCTCGATGTTAAGCAGACGACAAGCACAAGACGTTCAAGAACCTTCTATTGAAGCCACAGCCAAGACCAGCCTCTTTGGAGCGTGCATCTTCACCCTCGCTGAGCTCCGCCGAGCCACCGACGATTCTTGACCCGACCCCCGGAGCCTCAAGCACCCTCTTTCCTTGCTTTGCCCATCCCCTTTCCCCCCCACTTCCTGCTCTCCTCCTCCACTTCCCCACCCAAAACACCAGACGAAACCACGGCCGAGACCGGTCTCTTTGGAGTGTGCATCTTCACCCTCGCGTAGCTGAGCTCCGCCGAGCCACCCCTGTCCTTGAGCCATAAACCGTCCCTTGCAAGCATCCCCTTTCTCTTGCTCTCTCCTCCCCTTTTCCGTCGTTCTCCCCCTCCCCCACCCCCTACCCCCACTACACCAGACGACAAGCACAAGGCATTCAAGAACCTGGACGCCGAAGCCACGGCCAAGACCGGCCTCTTTGGAGCGCGCATCTTCTCCCTCGCTGAGCTCCGCCGAGCCACCGACGATTTCGCCCCGGGGAACCTCATCGGGCAGGGCGGGTTCGGCAAGGTCTACCGAGCCACGCTCGGAGGCTCGGCACGCGACGACAGCGACACCGAAGGCTCGGCGCCCGCCGTGCCCGGGTTCGAGGTCGCGGTGAAGAGGCTCGGGTCGGGGTCGCAGCAGGGGGCTTCGGAATTTCTGACTGAAGTACAGCTGCTGAGCCGGCTTCATCATAAGAACCTGGTGAACCTGATTGGGTACTGCGATGAGGACCCCAACCAGCTGATCCTGGTGTATGAGTATGCTCCCAATGGGACACTCAAGGACTATCTCAGAGGTGCGTTTGTGTGTGGTCGGATGCTGTCTCATTTCTGCGCTTGTGATCTGAGTAGAGGGGTCCGGGTCGCAGCAGGGGGCTTTTGATTTTCTGACTGAAGTATAGCTGCTGAGCCGGCTGCATCATAATAAGAACCTGGTGAACCTGATTGGGTACTGCGCTGATGACCCGAATCATCTCATTCTGGTGTATGAGTATGCTCCCAACGGCACCCTCAACGACTACCTCAGAGGTGCGTGTGTGGTGAGGTTTCCTCTTTACCCCCTGGGGCACCCTCACTGAGGTGCAGCTGCTGAGCTGGCTGCATCATGGGACTCACAAGGACTACCTCCGAGGTACATGCGTGGTGGTGGTGCTGCTGCTGCTCTCTTAGTTGTGTGCACTGTGAGTTGACTGAGGGTTCCTTCAACCTGATAGGGTACTCCGATGAGGACCCCAACCAGCTCATTCTGGTGTATGAGTATGCTCCTAATGGGACTCTTAAGGACTGCCTCCGAGATACGTGCTGTGCTCGTCGTGGTGGTATTGCTGCTCTCTCGGTCCTGTGCACTGTAATTTCTGGGTCCTCCAGTCCAAACCTGATAGGGTACTGCAATGAATATGCTCCTAATGGGACTACCTCCGAGGTATGTTGTCTCATCCCTGTTGACTCTTAAGGGTTCCTTCAGACCTGATAGGGTACTTATCCCGTACTTCTGTCTACCCCCATTCTTCCCAAACACACACCTACAGACGTGGTGCGCGTGAAATCGCTCTCCTGGGAGCGTCGGCTGCGCATCGCCACCACGTCCGCCAAGGGCATTGAGTACCTTCACAACGGCGCCTCTCCTTCGGTTATCCACCGGTGAGTGGTAGCATCCGGATGTGTCGCATGCGCTCGCATAGCGTCCGCCAAGGGCATTGAGTACCTTCACAACGGCGCCTCTCCTTCGGTCATCCACCGGTGAGTGGTGGCATCTGATTGCGTCGCACGCGCTCGCATCACGTCCGCCAAGGGCATTGAGTACCTTCACAACAGCGCCTCTCCCTCAGTCATCCACCGGTGAGCTTACTTGCTGTGTCCTTGCTCCACCCCTATCCCACCGATATTTACCCATCTCAACCCATCTCAACCCCTCTGCACCCCTCGCAGTGACATCAAGACGTCCAACATTTTGCTCGACTATGCCTTCAACGCCAAGGTCGCTGACTTTGGTCTCTCCAAGCTCGGCAAGAAGGCCCCTGCCACCATCGGCATGGGCGTGGAGGAGAAATCAGATATGAGCCACATCAGCACGCGCGTCAAGGGCACTCTCGGTGAGTCTAGCTTGGGCAGTAATATTGTCTCTCCAAGCTCGGCAAGGAAACCCCTGCCACCATCGGCATGGGCGTGGAGGAGAAATCAGATATGAGCCACATCAGCACGCGCGTCAAGGGCACTCTCGGTGAGTCTAGCTTGGGCAGTAATATTGTCTCTCCAAGCTCGGCAAGGAAACCCCTGCCACCATCGGCATGGGCGTGGAGGAGAAATCAGATATGAGCCACATCAGCACGTGCGTCAAGGGCACTCTCAGTGGGTTTCTTTCTTAATTTTTTTTTTTGAGGGTTTAGGGCTGGAATCTATGTACTAGAAAAAGCAAATCCTCAGCCAACTCCACCCACCCCCCCACCAGGCTACCTGGACCTCATGTACTACACAAAGCAGCACCTCACGGACAAGAGCGACGTGTTCAGCTTGCCCATCCCAGCACCTCCCTGCACCGCTCTAAATCCCTCCTTTATCTCTCTCCCTTCCCCCACACCAGGCTACCTGGACCCCATGTGCTACACGAAGCAGCACCTGACAGACAAGAGAGATGTGTTCAGCTTCGGGGTGGTGCTGCTGGAGCTGCTGCCCATCCCTGCACTGCTCTTCTTCACTGCTTCTTCTCTCTCTTCACCTGTTTCTCCCCCACACCCCACCAGGCTACCTGGACCCCATGTACTACACGAAGCAGCACCTCACGGACAAGAGCGACGTGTTCAGCTTCGGAGTTGTGCTGCTGGAGCTGCTCACAGGCCGCCTGCCCATCTGGCAGGAAGACGATGCTTCTGGGCTTCAGAACGGGGGCGAGTCACTGATTAACCTGGTTGAATGGGTGAGTTGATATGGGCTAGGATTGGCCGGTTGTAGCTGCTGGAGCTGCTCACAGGCCGCCTGCCCATCTGGCAGGAGGACGATGCGTCGGGGCTGCAGAACGGTGGAGAGAGCTTGATCAGCCTGGTGGAATGGGTGAGTGGCAAGAGCACGGCAAGTGCGCAAGGGGTGAGTGCGTGGCTGAGCCTGTAGGGGACTGGGTGCTGCTGGAGCTGCTCACAGGCCGCCTGCCCATCTGGCAGGAGGACGACGCTTCCGGGCTGCAGAACGGGGGCGAAAGCCTGATCAACCTGGTCGAATGGGTGAGTTCTCTCCCTCCGGTAGTGCGTGAATGGGTATGGGCGAGTGGTGCAGCGGCTCAGGAGGAGTGGTGCTGCTGGAGCTGCTCACAGGCCGCCTGCCCATCAACCGGCAGGAGGTTGTCCATGCTGCTGCAGAATGGATGAAAAAGCCTCATCAACCTGGTAGAGCCGTTACCTTCCTTTTCCCCCCCTTTTCCACCTACCTCTACCTCGCCTCAACTACCCCTTCAGAGGAGTTCAAATTCAACTACCCCTTTTCCCTTTTCGATGATTTTCTACTCATTGATTCGATGATTCGCCTCATTGTGACTCCCACACTCGACGTGGACCGGCCATGCAGAGCCTCGTGAAGGATGCTGACCTCGCCTACCACTGCGTGCGCACTCCCCCTCATTTCCCCCTTCAACCCCCCCTCCCCCACCCCGCTTCCTCCTTCCCTCCTTCAGACGGAGCCGTTTCTCAAGTCAGGTCAGATTCGTCCTATCGTAGCGCCGACTCTCGATGTGGACCGGCACATGCAGAGCCTCATGAAGGTGGCTGACCTCGCCTACCGCTGCGTGCGCACTCAGCCCAAGAGCCGGCCCGCCATGGCTGAGGTGGTCCGCGTTCTAGCAGAGGCCAAGGCCCTTCTCGACGCCGAGGGCCCCACTCCCTCCTCCTCTGCTCTCCCCCTCCCCACCCCCTCTGCTGCTGCTGCTGCTGCCGCCTCGATTTCTGGTGGTGCTGGTTCTGCTGGTGGTTCTGCTGCTGGTGCAGGGAATTCTCTGCTTGAGTCGTCCCTGAAGGTGGGGGATGGGGAGTCGGCGTTGCTGATGGATGAGGCTGGAGATGCTTTCGTGCCCCATGCTTCTGTCTCTGCTGCTGCTGCGGCTGTGGTGGGATCAGGTGGTGCGGGGGATTACACGAATCCGTTCTCAATCAGCGTTATTTCGGAGTGACTGGAGCTGACTGAATGGAGGATGAGCAGCAGATGGATGGAGACAGAGAGATGTTAACCTAAATTGAAAAAATGTTGTGATTGTGTGTTCATAAAAGCTGCAATGGTTAATGAGGTTGGATGGAGTGAAGGATTGTTGGCAATTAGGGAGAGATGCAGCTGGTGGAATGTGTGTGTGTGTGTGTGTGTTTTTTTTTTTTTTTTATATAATGAAATCGATTTTTTCGTTGTCGTCATTAACAGCAACAAGAATATTTTTTTTTTTGAAAACTGCCAACATGGACATTTTCCCATGAAGTGTTTTATGTTGTGTAAGAAGTAACAACGTAGATTGGCGATTTTGCACTTTTTTTACACGAGGAGGCTGCTGCATTATTGCCTTGCAGAATATTATTGCAACGTGACGAAATTATTGCTCATTGGGCAACGCCGCCAGACACGGCGCTTGCACGCACAACACATCGAAATTACTGTACTGACGAAGCGACGGGATGGGATAACATGCCGCAGGCGAAGTTACGGAGGTGCTTTAGGCGAAGTGACGAATGATGAAGTGACGAAGACGCTCAGGCCAAGTTACACGTGCATTATTGTACACTTCAACTCGAATCGCGATGGTCTTGACAGCCCCACAGACAGCTCAATCTCTCCTGAAGGAGCCAATTTCGGATTCCACTGGAAGTAACTAGACTCGAAAGCACACAACACGCCACCCAAGCAGAAGAGCAGCACGTGCTTGGCAAGTGAAACTATTATCAGGCACCCCCAGTCCCTCCTAAACCGTTACTGAATACTAGCAGCGAAGCCAGTGAGGGCGACTTATCAATCCGGCGACTTAGCTTGCTCGTCCTATAAGCTTGCGCCAAGGTCCGGATTCACGCCATCATTCGTTGATAGTTACGCTGTCCGTACCTGTTGTTTTTTTCAAACGAAACCGGTCATCTTCATCGTTCGCAATGGCGGGAATTCCTCATGACTTCACCGCGTCGGACCTGCATCATCTCCTCTTTGAGCGCATTCTCGGCGAAGAAGGCGACGGCGGTGGAGGCGGTGAGAAGAAGACAAGCGGCATGTATAACTACATGGTTTACTCGCCGAGCTACTACATCGCTACAGTAACCGCCTTGATTGTCATCGTTTCACTGCTCTTCGAAAAATTCATCCACGTCATCCACCACGTAAGCTTCCTGAACTTCAACACGGGTTTGTCCTTCTTTCTTTCTTTACTTGGATTTTCTAATTCAAGAAAAAGAAGCAGGCTGTAATGCGTCACGCACATTTGTCTAATGTGCGCAGTGGTTTGGTCACAGGAAGAATAAGGCTCTCGTGCACGTGGTCGACCGCATCAAAGACGGTGAGAACTGATAATAATGTATTTTGAGGCTCCTAAAAACGCTTCAATTATGATCGCAACTGACACCTGTCCACATTCTCCTCTTTCTCCTCCTCTTATCCTATCGACAGAACTTATGGTCGCCGGGTTCCTCTCCATCGTTCTAGCGTTAATCAATCCGCTCCTCGCTGGGTGGTGCGTCCCGGTCGCGAGAGACACCATTCTTATTCCGTGCAAACCGCCGGAGATGCCTTACTACTCGCCACCGCCCGTACCTGCTAACTCAACTGCAAACTACACGGAAAAGGGTTTCTCAAAAGTTCAACCAAATCATAGTGGGGTTACTCCGGATGGCGGAAATGGCACGACATTCTCGACGGTCGTCAATACCGAGCAGTTCGCGAACGGAACTGGGATCGAGATTCGCGAGACTACGATCACGTTTCGTAACGGGACGAAGATGAAAACGACGACGAGAAACGTGTTTGTCGGCAACGGAACGGGAGCTGTTACGAACAACACTAGTCTGACAACACCAGATGAAAGTACAGACTCACCAATACATGGAGATGGAGGAGAGTTGTTTCCGCATTTTGATTCTTCAAACAATACCAACAACGGCCACGAAAGAGGCCTTTTGGGGTCCACATCACACAAAAACAGTGATGTTTCTTCCAGTGGCATAGAGAACCAAATTCGTCGGTTGATCCTGGATTGGGAACGACAAAAAGACCGGGAGCAGCACAAGCGGCTTCTTTTGGAAGGAGACGGCGGTTGGGAGCATGGCAGCCGGTTCAGCCACCATGTGCGAAGGAAGCTGGCGAGTTTCCCGAACGAATGTCCATCTGTGAGTGTCAATACATGCCATTTCCACCTCCTCTGACTGTAGTACCCTTTAGTTGCTATGGTTTTTCCCTTTCATTTTTTGTTGTTTTTTTATATCCTTGCATCAATTTTTTGTTCTTGCCTGTATCGAATCACTCTGTACGTGGTTTCAGGGCCAGGAGCCGTTGATGTCGCCTTCAGCCATCCACCAATTGCATCTCTTCATCTTCTTCCTCGTTGCCGGTCACATCGTCTACACCTGCATCACCATTGTCATCGCCCGTGCCAAGGTGAACTCCTTGCACTTTCACCCTTCTGTACACTTTCAATAGATTAAGTAATAGCATCGTCTACACCTGCATCACCATTGTCATCGCCCGTGCCAAGGTAAACTCCCCTCAACATACCTGTTTACACACAAAAAAATCAACTTCACATTCCTTCCAGCCCTGTGGTCGCATCGCCTACACCTGCAACACCACCATTGTCACCGCCCATGCCTAAGTAAATTCCTCTCACTCTCACCCTTCGTCTATATACACTTCCAATATAGGTCAATAAAAATATATATTGAAAAAGGCCTACGAATGATAGCACCTCCGCTTCAGGTATCCACGTGGCACAGGTGGGAGAACACGTGTCAAGAGAAGATGAGGCAAAGAGTAATCGAACCTTTCTACGTCTATTCCGCCTTAACGGTTAAATTCCCCTTTCCCGATGCCCCCTTCTCTCCCCACCCACCCACCCCGTCCCAGGTGTCCACGTGGCACAGGTGGGAGAACAAGTGTCAAGAGAAGATGAAGCAAAGGAAGGGCGCGGTATCAGGTACGTGTTTAGGGGTGTGGTATCAGGTATGTTTCAGGGGTGTGGTATCAGGTATGTTTCAGGGGTGTGGTATCAGGTATGTTTCAGGGGTGTGGTATCAGGCATGTGTTCAGGGGGTGTGGTATCAGGCATGTGTTCGGGGGGTGTGGTATCAGGGAATTGCCAGTCCCAGACTTTTCATTGAAATCATAGAAGCTTTTCTCTTGATACTCATGCCTTTCTCTCTCTGCGTTGTTCTCCCCCCTTCCTCTCTGTGCATCACTCACAGGTCAGCTCACCCGCGCCCTGCAAGACCGTAGCTTCATTCTCCGCCGCACAGGGCCCCTTGCCAGCTTTCGCCGCCGCGTGGCACCTGACGTGGCAAATGCCGGTTCCAGCTCAGCAGGTGCCGGATATGACGTGGAGCAGCCCCCTTCCGGCGTGGGGCAGGAGCCAGAGCTGGCGAGAACCTTCCAGGAAGTTGTCAAGGAGGGGGAAGAGGCGAAAGCTCAGGGGAGTCAGGAGCAGCAGGTTCGGGAGCAGGCTCGGGCACAGGAGGCTCAGGAGCCGGCTCGGCGAGGCTCGAAGTTGCAAGTTCACTATAGCGATGAGGATGACGTGGCAGAGGAAGAGCCGGAGCATTTCACGTGGATAGGGGAGGAGGAGGAGGAGGGGGATGACCTGGATACGGTATATGAGGACGAGGAGGAGAGAGAGGAGGAGGAGAAGGAGGAGAAGGAATGGAGGAGGCAGAAGGGGATGAAGGAGGGAGGGGCAGGGGAGAAGGGGAAGAAGCGGCTGACTCGGCTGGCAACGATGGCGAGGAGAGAAGCGAGCACTGAGCTGACCGTGTGGCAGTCGCTGGTGCTCACTGTGGTGAGTTGGGGTTGGGGATTGTCAAGGGGTTGAGGCGAGGTGGGCAGAAAGCAATAAGTTAGGCTCTCAACCTTGCCGTCCTTCTTCTCCCCTCTCCCTTTCGCATACGCCCTTCCCCGTTCTCCTCTCTCCCAATGCTCTGGCTCCCTCTCATGCACCCGTGTCCTGCCCCAACCCACCCCATGCTGACTGAACCCCACAGCAATGCTTTTCCCAGCAACTGTTCAACCCGATCACCCGGTCTGACTACTACACTCTCCGGCTTGCATTCATTCATGTAAGTAATATTATGATTATGAACTATTATTATATTGCTGTTACTAATACTATTATCACTACTATTGTTATTGTTATCATCTTTGGTTTGTTTTTTCCTACTTCCTTTAGAGTGCACACAGTTAAGTGTACCTCGGCTGGCTGTGTGATCCGATCAAGCACTGATGCTGTTCCTCCCTTGGTGACTTCCTTTCTACAATATCAGAATCAGATTCAAGCAAGCACCATTCGCCCACTCCCTTTGCCTTCCTCCCAGTCTTTCAGACTCAGGACCTTCCTCAAGACTTCGATTTCTGTCACCATGTGGTTAGCACCACTCGCCCACTCCCTTCCCCTCCTCCCTTCCCCTCCTCCCTTCCCTCCTCCCCATCTTTCAGAATCAGGACCTTCCTCGAGACTTCGATTTCTATCACCACGTGGTTGGCTCCCTGGAGAAGGACTTTGTCCACATCGTCGGCCTCAGGTGAAAGCTCAGGTGTTTCCAACAGATGATTGGTTGATGACCTAGAAAACGACTTCGTCCACATCGTTAACCTCAGGTGCTTTTTTTCATGTGCGTGGCCGATAGGCTCAGTCGTACTTTTACAGAATGCTACTCAGGTAACGACTTTGGATTTTCAACATAGTGTTTCTGTTTCGTTTCTGGTTTTTCCTCATCCATAAGCCCCTCCCCCTCCCTTCCCCCATATCTCCTCCCAACTCTTTCCAACCCCTCCCCCAACCCCTTCCCTCTGCCTACCCAGCTTGCCTCTCTGGATCACTCTCGTTATTGTCATTTGCATCACAAGCTACAGTAAGTCACTCTTATCTACTGTAATGACAGTCAGTTTCCTGTTTTTGTTAGATACTGCTTCTTTCGCTATCGTCGCTGATGCTCTGTCAAGCAT